TATTCAGATACCTAATAGGAGTAATGAGAAAGGCTTAAGTACTATCTGCTTGCTTTAATCAAACACTCATTTAGTAGCTGTCAAAACTGGGCACTACTTCCTCCGTTAGTTTCTTAGGAAAATCCAGTAAGAAAAAAGATTGCTCAAACAAGTAATGTGTGCTTTGTGTTTCTGAACAGAAGAAACAACTCAAGAGAAAAGCTGGATAGAAAGAAAAGACAAGCACATTTGGAGTGTAACATGCGTGAAACTGTGTGCTTTAGAAGAACAGTTTGTCAGCAGGCTATGAAGTAGATTCTTTGCTCAGAATGCTCTAGGTTGGTGGTTACTTACATTGTTTTCTTTCTAACACAAGTCATCTCTGTAAGCTGGTTAGAGGAAGGCAACTCCCCTTAAAGATGCCAACGTCTCCATCTCAAATCAGCCCAGAAGGGATGAGATGGAGTGAAATGGAAAATGGAAAATTGAACAAAAACTACAGCACTGGTAAGTGGTAAGGTTTAATCTCTTCAGTATGTGGGTCATTCCTGGAAAAAGACAATCTCCACTAAGGAGGAAAATAAAACCTTAAAAAAATGCAGAGGCTATAAAAATCACACTAGAATTAAGGTGTGACAGGAAGAGAGAAAGTATTGATTCATCTGGCCCAAATTTTGTTAGAAATAGAGTATGCTGTCTGAAAATACAGAGCAGGAGTAGGAGTAGATGACTAAGAAGATATTAAATATAATTTTAGTGAGTAAAAAAATTCAGTAGAAGACATTCAAAAAGGCAGTCTCAATAAATCATTTACAAACACTAACTTTTTTGTTATCTTTTCTATTGGCATTTTTAGAAGACAGTTGGATTACTTGAGTCATTAAGTTTCTTTTGAAACTGTGATTGTTCAGTTATTTATCTACTTATTTACTACTGAAATTACTGTAAATTGGGCAGCAGATGTAGTTCAGATTACAGCACTTCCCTACCATGGCTCTGAGCATCCCCTTGTGCAAAACAACCCAGTTTCCCTTGGATATCTTACTTCCTTTATGAAAACAAATGAATAATGTCCAATGTTTATCTATTTAGCCTCTAAGATGCTTTGTTATTGGGGGGGGTGCGCTACCGGGGCTCAAACTCATGACCTCGTACTTGCCAGCTAGGTGGTTGTGCTATGCAGCTAAACTCCCAGCTCTGTTGTTAAGAATATGTTTCCTTAAATTTTTTTTTTTTTGGTTTTCTACATTTTTTAACAAGAATAATCTTATCCTTAAATTAACATTGCTGTGAAAACATGCACAAAATGTGGATAAAGTAAGAACATAATAATGGCATATCCCTCATATATCAATACAAAGACGAAAACATCCACAAATGATAATTTTTTATAATTATGTGTCACTTAATGATGGTGATACGCACTAAGAAATATGTTGTCAGGTAATTGTTATCACTGTGTCAATGCCATAGTATACTTTCAAAATTGAATGGGTTTGTTTACCACATGCCTAGTTATGTTGTAGTCTATTGCTTGAAAGCTACCAAACTGTAGAATGTTACTGTATTCATCTAGAGAAAAATGGTCAGTATCAGTGAATCTAAATATATCTAAATGCAGAAAAGAAACCAGTATAAGTACTAGGTGTGAGTAACATTTATATCTTTAGACTACAGGCCACAGTCTTATATGGAGTCTGTCACTCCCAAAACTGTGGCATATGACTGTGTTCCATACACCTCAGTCTATGACTTTAAATCCAACATGGAAATTATTATTACTATGACAAATGAAATGTGACATTATTGAGGTTATTTAATAAGAGTGTTTTCAGGGCTGGGGATTTAGCTCAGTGGCATAAGAGCCTGGTTGGCAAGCACAAGGTCACAACTTTGACCCTGGTCCCACAAAAACGCAAGAAGAGTATTTTCAAATAGAAATATTAAACCCTTAATCTGAAGTTTGCCATATACTAACGCAAAGGGGATGTCTATCCAGTATCATAAAGATAAAACAGGAAATTAAAAAGCCATCTTTTCTTTCTTTTCTCTCTCCGTCTGTCTGTCTCTCTCTTCCTTCCTTCTTTCCTTCTTTCTTCTTCTTGAGACAGTCTCCTGGCCTCAGATTTCAAAACCTCTTGACTCACCCTCCCATGTAGCTTGGATTATAGGAAGGTACCACAACATCAGGCGGAAAAATAACCTTTTAAGTCACTGCTTAGTAAAGAGACTCATTCTAAAATGAAGGTAGCCTTTTTAAATGGCATTAGTTTATGCATTAAAGCTTCATGAAATGATCAAAAAATACAATGATTCAGCCGCTCTAAATAAAGGAACTTACATTAACAATAAATAGTTCAGGGAAAAAGACAAAGATCCAGGCCCTTGAAGCATCTGCTTTCAGCATCTACCATAGTTACACTGATGAAAATTATATGAGTTAAATATTGAATGAGATTAATAACTCATGAAAATATGAAGGGAAAATCAATGGGTAGAAAACCATACAGTTGAACCCTAAGAACAGTTAGGGGAGGTAAACAAAGATCTTGCTCTCCCATTGTCTAGCATGTGACACGTGTATAACCCGCCGAGCTTCCATTTCCTCTTCTCTGAGATGGTGATACTACAGTCTCTCAGCTGGGCAAAATGGAACAACAATCCAATGATAGTATATATGTGAACATTTAATCCCTGTAGTAAATGGCACACAGTAATTGACAATAGTTGGTAAAGGATTTTAAGTCAGTGAATTTATTAAGCACTTCGAAATCGTGATTTTATGTTTAAGAAAAGAAAAGAAACTAATGTTGGACTAAATCAGCATTTACCATAATCAGGAAAGGTCTAAGGGCAAGCTCCAACACAGTTTAATGGTTTACCCTGGCTGAACAACACAGTCCTTGAGGCAAGTAATCACATGCTGCCTGACTTCTGGTTGTCTTTCCCTGAACCAGCCGCTTATTTTCAGTGAGTCAACATAGCTGATTTCATGATTCATAGTTCCTTTTGGATTATTTTAAAATTATGTGATGTTTACTGAATAAGTTCCAATTATGAACTATATTTTTAACTGAAACACACTTGAAGACAATTTAAATAAACATGATTGTGCCATAAGCTATGACATTTTAAAATTTAAAAAAATTTTTTTGTTGTACCAGAAATTAAATTTTGGACTTTTCACCAGCCAGGCAGCACTGTGCTGCTGAGCCATCTCCCTGGCATGAATGGTATGAGCTGAACGGATGTATAAAGTAGTTTGTGGGTATACCTCAGTTTATAATTTTTATATAGTAAAACATAAGACAAATATTTTAATATAAGGACCACACTTCTAAGGCACTCAGTAAAGTTTCCAAATTATGAGAAACGTCTAAATAGAGGTTAAGAACTCAAATTTCCCATCTCTGAAAACTTCTGAAAGAAAGGAATTGTGTGGTAAATCATAATCCCTTTTTGCAAAACTATATGAGGAAGTTCTTATTTGCACTAAAGTGATTTAAGGAAATGATACTTCAGAATGAGTTAGGCAGAGGATTTTAGAGTAGTGATCATCAAAGAAATTCTGATGAAATATAGGAAATTGTAGAGACAGCTATGAAGGTTTTTACTTGAAAAAATTATGATAAAGTCTGCAAACCAACACTTCATTTCTGCTTCTATATTTCAAAATATGAAGATAAAAAAACCTTGAATTTGAGTTTTCCAGGTGTCCTTAAAAACCAGGTCCACCTTCTGGTATAATTTTTAAAATGCTTCTTAACAATCTTATTGTGCAAGCCAGGTATAACTGTCATACTACATGGCCTACGAATTGGTTTAGTTAAAATATCATTGCTCAACAATAAAAGGTCAGTGTTTTTATTTTTGAAAAACCCTGTAACATAACATAGCTGAAATTTCAATAAACCCATGCACTTACACTTTTTCACAACAAAAATCAGTGCATGAATCTTTACGAGATGAAGTTTCACCCATCAATCATGCTACAAATAATGCAAAATTAAAATCTTCTCTTGATTACATTCATTATTACTTTAAATTTCACTTCAATCTTATTGGGCAAATCTCTGTATTTCTGAAGCATATATACTTCCCAGCTCAGGAGTAGTCTGCTCTTCTTCAGATAAGAACCAAGGAGGCAAGCTTAACCTCTCAGCACAGTAAACCTGTATCCCAGATATTTTGCTCCTGAGACATCAAAGGGAGATGGATCCAGGGATTTGTTTATGGTCCCAGGTGTTTTCTATCTTTAGGATGAGCTGCATATCTAATACAAGACTACAGGATTTCCTGAGTGATTAGAAATCTCATGAATAATTAACTAGTCAGATAAATTTCTTTCTTATGAGGTTTTGAAAATTTTGGGGTAGGCAAGTCAGAAAATGTTCCACATTAGATTGTTTGATTTTTCATTATTCCTGAAGGAAAAAAAAAGAGGTATGGCTGGCTTATACTGCATCTGACACAAGAGTTACAAACACAAACTTCTTGAGGCTGTTGACAATATATTATGAAAAGTACTTTAGATCATGTATAACTTGTATTTCTTTAGAGACTGTTCCCTCTGGATGAATATATTTCTAATTTTCAGAATACTCACAGCACATGAAACTCAGATTTTTTTTTATCAAATTCAAAATTTACTAGTTTCTGTACCACTATGTATACAAGAATATTGTTTCCTTTCCCGTCCTATTTGATTAAACCTGGAAGGATGCAAGATTGGCATAAATATTCTCAATGTTTTCCTAAATGTTTTACGTTTCTTTATGTAAGTGTTAAAATAGCTATCGATGCATAGAAATATATCACTAAATTTAAGTGCTGAAGAACATGCAGGCCTGATCTAATTTTTCCAGTGATGGGATGAGTTTATGACACCAGAAAACTGAACTTAGTTCCATTTTTTTTCATTTAGATTATTTGTATGTTTCTACAGACAGTATTTTGTCAATGCATGCAAAATGAACTTAATTTTTTTCCTTCTTAGAAGAAAAGTACGGAAAGATACATACTGTAAGGGACACATTCATACTGCACTTCAAGGTATTTATAGGTTCCTGGACATGGGTCCGGAAACACATCAGGACCTGCCACCACTGCACACTGCGTTCTGTTATTGCATCTGAAAACAAAAGTAAAGACAACACAAGGTAAGCTTATGCAATGCTACATCACTCTTTTCATCAGTACTACAACATTTCAGGTCCAGTTACATACATTTAAATAAAGGTTTTGGTTGAAATAATATGTCGTGTTTTAAATTTTATTTATCAGTTTATTTTTGGCTGTAGCAAAAATAGGTGTGTTCTACTCTTGAGCTATATCCCCACCTCCTTCTTAATTTCTCATCTTGAATCAAGACTTCCCAGGTTGCCCTCGCACACGCAGTCCTCCTGCTGCAGCCTCACAGGTCTGTGCACGGCATGCTTCCATGACATTAGTCTTATTAAGAAATGTCTACAGTACTATATTTTTTAAAAACTAGTCATCAAAATCAATCCATTCAGTTTGCTTATATTAACTAACGCATGGTTGGAATCAACAGGATTTTGAGGTAGATGTTAAGTATTTTGCAGCAACACAAATTGGTTCTTAGGATACTGCAGATGTGAAGACAGGTCAGGAAGACTGATAGCAAATATCCACTTGCATTCATAATCAAAAAATATAACCACAGATTGTCATTAGATAGTGCAAAAAACTGGCAGATTATAATGACATTCATGTTAAATGTAGCAAACATGGTATTGAACAGCTTTATCCAAATATATAGAAGTTAATATTTAACTGTTACAAGGTATATGTTAATTAACTATATAATTGATATAATAGCACTATCTCTATCAAAAAGGTCATGTTTAGGAACTGACTGCCAGCAGGGCACGTTGAGGCACAGCTGTAACACTATCATAGAGGGGTCACTGCTGCAGAAGGATGGGAAGACTGAGGTCAGTCTGGGATACATGGGAGGCGACATCTTCATATGAAAATGGGGTGGGCACGCTGCTCAGTGGTGGACAACTTTTCTAGCATATGTAAGTCCCTGGGTTCAATCCCTACTATTGCCAATTTTTTCTAGATTTTTTTAACATCAATTGAATAGTGACTCAAACTTCATAGGTTATATTATACTTCATAAATGTCAGTAGCCTATAATTTAAAATATTATATTTAATTTCTAAACAGAATGATTAAATACCACTACTGAAGTAGAAATTAAAAGTTGGACACTTCTGTGGAAATTGAACTTAAATACATCTGGGTTCATTTATTCTTGGGGAAAAGTACATGTAATAAAATTAATTACTCCTCTGGAAAAACACACTCGTTCACAGTGGTCTCATTACTGTAAATTTTAATTAGAAAATTCCTAAATTCAATACACATTTTTATACTTAGAAATGATGGTTTATGACCCCTAAATATTAGCATGATCTACATCAGTTGAACACACTAGTTATTTCTTCTTTTATGTTGCTGATTCACTTCACAGATAGAATTTCAAGGCCTGATTTCCTATTGCTTTTGAAACAAAAGTTTCATTTCTTGATGCAAGCCACACCTCTGCACACTCGCATGGATACTGGCGGTGTAAACAAGAGAGAGCAGCGCTCACTCTGACTCACAGTAGAAAATGTGTTATGTTGACTTGAGGCTATCATTTGCCAGACATAATGAGGATTTTATTTAGTCCTTAAATTAAAATGTAAATCCTTAAACTGAAAAATATATTGTGTTATTATTGAACAATTAATAAAAGCTTATCGGCCACAGGCTTTTGGTAGCTCAGTCCCTCAGGGTCGGCCAGTCCTGTAGTTCTTCAGTAGAGACTGGATGTCTGCTGCTGAGGATGGACTGTATAGTAATATGAATGGAGACCTGGCTGTCCTCTCACATGCACTGCAGACAGGTCGTTTGATACTCTAGTGTATTGACAGGTCTTAAAAACAGCAATACTGGACTTCCTTATTACAAAGAAAATCCATTTTCAAAATATTCAAAACTAAATGACAAGTTTTTAGCAGTTAAGCGAATACAACTTTCACATCATGAGACAGATTACACATAAGATATTTATCTATACGTGAGAAAATTTGAAAATTGAACACGTTGTAAATAATCACCACTGTGACTTCCAAATATCCTACTTAAAACGGAGTCAAGAGGCCTTTAATTAATCAGTGTATGTGAAGATGTATAAAAAATCAAACACAAAAACTATGCTAGTATCTCTTCATAGTCAGTATCAACACTATTCTGTATAAAAAATCATTTTTTCAAAATAATTCACTATCCTGTTATTATTTTTGGAATTGTTTTTATCAAATCACTTCAAAACTCACTGGCAGAAAGGCAGATTTAATCTCTGGAATATTACTTTTACATAAAATCCAGTATAACCACCAAAACGATCACTAAAGATGAACTCTATTTTGAAAACACAGTTTAAAGATTCTATTTCTTGTTTTTCTAATATTTCATTTTCTGAGATTTAAAATGAAACAAATTTATACTGATCACAGATTTTTTAAAAGAATTTATTCCAAAAAGACAAATATTATAGTTCTTCCAAAACTATATGAAGTATTCATTCCAAAATACTATAAACAATAAAAGCAAATGAGATAACATCACCTAATATTATGAAGTGCTGTAAACTCATATACCTCATTGTTTACCTTTAATGTATGAATTTGAAAGTGATTTCCAGTACTATTCACCCATGATATTAAAAACATTTTCAAACCCAGCTAAGAAGAGACTGTAATAATATGCTTAAATACATTTTATCCATTACTATAGGGAAAACATCAGAACCTTAGAAAAGGATTTGAAGGATTATTTTCAATGAGACTTTTTTTGTACTGGAGATTGAACTCTTGACCTTGTGCTTGCACTGATACATTTTAAAGTCTATTTTGCCCCAGAAACTTTTATGTGAAAATAACCTGCATATCAACATTGGTGATTTGTATCACTAGAAGGTGGTACTGACAAGAATCAGATTTAATTATCAAAAACATTCTCAGGACTGGGGATTTAGCTTAGTGGCATAAGTGCCTGCCTTGCAAGCAGGCAGTTAGTTGTGAGTTCGATCCCTGGTACTGATTAAAATAAATAAATAAATAAATAACATTCTTGAATCTATTTTCACAACAGTAATATGGGCATGTTATTTTATTTTCTAACTGGGTTGACATGCTATTATAAAACTTTATTAGAAAAAGACAAAGTATCACACATATGCACAAGGTATAATTTTGCTATTGTTATCACTGTAAATATCACTATTAATAGTACACATTTGTCTCAGGTAGGTTAGCAACATTTCGTAACAGACAGACTGAACCCATTTGAGTGAAACACAACTCAGAAATAGTGACACACCAGAAACCACATAAACACTTTGGATTCAGAATGGAAACTGGAGAAAACAGATTCATATAAAAACATACAGGGCCGGGGAACAAGGCTCAGCGGCCCAGCCTGCCATGCGTGAGGTAGTGAGTTCCGTCCCCGGTACTGAAAAAAGGAAAGAAAAAAATGTAACTCTAAATAAAGTCCTTTATTCTACATAAACTCCTCTCCTTTCTCTTATGAAAAAATACAATGAAAGTTTGAATAAAAAGTAAACGATACATTGGCATTAATATCCTTCAAAATGCTTGTTGCCCTGATTCTAACACATACTCATTGTTCTGGGCAATGTGTCTTTACTACAATTATTTTTAAAAATGTAAGCATTCACCTCAGGGTTTGCTGTACACCTGAGGTCCAAGATTTAAAGTAAAACCACTGTACATCTGAGAGTCCTTCAAATTTAGAAAGTGTCTTCACATATATCCTGTTTATCTTTTCTAGTTTTTACTCTAATTGATCTTAATTGATTTTATCTTTCCAGCTTTGACTAATAAAATTATATATGAATTTAGATGTTGCAATGAGATGTTTTTATATATGTATACCTTGTGAAATGATTGCTCCAATAAAGGCAGTTACTACATCCATCATGTCAAAGAGTCATCTTGTTTTATTTATATGCTGAAAAATCTTACAGTGTGCATACTTAGCAAATTTCAAATACACAACATTGTGCCAGTTAATCTTAACTGTCAGCTTGACCTAAGACTTCTAAAGAAGTGATTGGATCACTGGCCATTATACATGTCAGTGAATTAACCGCCGGGTATTTAGGTGCCTATGCTGGTAGAAGCTGAGGTCTTATTGGAAGATGTCCTTTGGAACATGTTCTTGGCGAGTTTATCTCTCGCTGATACCCTGTCCTTATTCTTCGTTTCCCAGCCACCAGGGATGCAGCAGCTTTGCCCTGCTACACTCTTCTGCCCTCATGAACCTGCTTCACAGCTCAGGGACCATGGATGGAAACCTCGGAAACTGTGTGCCAAAATAAATCTTCATTTAGTTGTGGGCTTCATATATTTTGTCCTAGAGACAGGAAATATGTCTACTACAAATACAGTATTATTAACTGTGATAGCATTCTGCAATACTAGATCACTAGAACACAGTAATATTGCATTACAGGAAATTTACCTCCTATTCCTCTGCTACTATATCATAGGTAAAAGAGATTTTTTTCTGTTCTTCCTCCACTTTTAGTTAGTATACTGTCCCCCAAAACATTTATACTGTTTTCTCCCTCTTTTAGTTAGTATACTGTCCATGTGATGACAGTTTCCTTCTTTATTAAAGTTAAATAATATTGCATTGCGTATTTTGTGCGTGCATCACATTTTCTGTATTGATTCGTCTACTGATAAAGACTTAGGTTGTCTTGGCTATTTCGAATAATGCTGCAACGAACACGAGAGCATAAATAACCTCTTTTATTTATTTGTTTTTATTTTTTCATAAATAATCTCTTTAAGATCCTGATTTTATTTCCACGGACACAATGCTTTCAAAAGTGGGATTGCTGGACCGTTTTTAATTTTCAAGAGCCTACATACTGTTTTCCATAAGGGCTGCACCAAATTCCATTCTCATCACCAGTGCACAAGACTTTCTTTTTCTCCTTATCCTTGCCAGTGTTATATTTTATCTTTTGTTCACAGGCATACTACTACTAGAGATGAAGTATTTGTGATTTTACTTCACACT